ACTGTAGTTCCAGCTACTTGGAAGGCTGAGGTGAAAGGATCACCTGAGCCCAGCAGGTCGAGGCTGAGGTGGCCGTAAGCATGCCACTGCACTCCAGCTCAGAGAACAGAGTGAGACTCCAACTCAAAAAAATAAAAATAAAAGTGAAAAGGAATTTCATGAAAGAAAAGTAGCTGGAGCTCAAGAATCAGCTTAGGAGGAAGAACTGCCAGGTTAATAGGAAAACACTGACGTTTGGCTATTAAGCCTTTTTATTTTCTTTTCCTACATGCACAAATTATTTTGTAAATGTGATCTAACCATTTTTTTCCTTACAGAAATAAAGGAAAAAATAAACACCCATCTGAAGAATGAAAACTCTGACAGCAGAAGTAAGCAGAGGAAGCCTTGCTTCCTGACAGACCCAAGATGGCCACTAGAAGGCTCCATAAACAGGGCTCACCGTCTCAGGGACCCCCCAAGGCCTGAAACGCGATGAGAAACTAGTGCAAGCCCCAAAAGCACCTGCTTCATGAGGCTGGGAGCCCGGGCACAGAAGAACCTGTGGCCCTTATAGAGCCTTCACTGTGCAAGAAATGCAATGATTCATTTTCAAAATGGACCTTGAGCCATGTTTAAATGCCTTGCTGAGTCATCTCCTGCTTCTTCTCCTTTTTTGTTTAAATTTGGGAGGGAACCAATCAAAATGAAATCCTGTAAACTAATTAGCAAATAGGACATGTAAGTGAAGGGATTTTGCAGTGACCGCATAAACCAATCAGCAAACCAGACATGTAAGTGAAGAGATTATGTGACAGCTCTACAAACCAATCAACAAATAGGACATGCAGATGAACTAATTATGTGACCCAATTGAAGTATGCCATGTAGGGGACGTTGAGGAAAGTGATGTACCATCTGGAATACCCAGCCTATGGGAAAACAGGGGAGGGATGTGCGTTCTAGGGCACCCAGAAGCTAGCTGTACCGGCTTCAGTGTGCCTGCCCACCAGAAACCACTGCAAGACCATCATTCAAGTCTCGCTTCTGCTGCACTCCACATCTCTG